GTATAAAAACAGATATCTGTGGGAAAATGTAACTTCAAAGATGTATTGAATGACTGCATCTTTCACTATTAGGCACGTGGAGAAAAGATTGTGTTTCAAGTATTCAAAACAAATAAGCTGACAGAAGTAAAAGAAACGCGCGCTCGTTGAATGTTGAATCTTGGAAAATGTGCTGAATGTAGATAAGAAATGCAATATTATAAAGAAATAAGAAAAATAGGATTTTGTTAACAACATTGATAACTGTCGGCCATAAGAGATTTCAGAAACTTTCGGAATAATCTTGTTTTTCTGTTCGTCAAGAGTGGCTTTATCAAAGCACGTTTTTCCGCAATTTATCATTCAACACACGTCCGCGATCTTCTTGTTTTTGTGTTTTCGCAAAATCAAAAAGAATCATGAAGCGCGATAGTCAATATTGAAATATTTTATGTTTTAATTTTTTAAATACTTTTTAAGAAACATTATTAACTAGATCCTGAAAAGATTACTCATCATAATAAGACATGAAAACAAGAAAACTAACAGCAAAAAAGAGAGATCGAGAGAGAAATGAGATAAAGAAATGAAATAAATCAATGAACAATATATATTAATTAATATCAATTACGTTCTCATGAAAGAAAAATGACATAAAATTGAGTGTTATTCTTTAGTTTATTGGGAAGACATGTTATGGTAAAAAACATCTTTTGAGCAGAGTAATAATACAGAAGGTGCTATTTAAGACATTGTACGCTTTATAAAAAATGACATTTATGTCAGAAAAAGGTAAACAAACGAGATTTTGTCACGCCTAGTTAGGACTGTTTACGAATATCTATCACTATTTACCAGGAAATATAAGCTTTTATATGCACAGATTGTTTTCAAAAAATCCATGAGGTTTCCAAATATGTTTTATTGTAATAAGATAATGACGTTATCAACTAAACGTAATTGAAGATGCATTCTGATATATGCTTTATACGATAAAAGCATCAAAATGCACGACACTTTTAATGAACAAGAGCATATAAATCATTTTCATTAAATCACAGAAAATTTCATATTTGTATAGTTTAATTTTACTTAGCCTATCAATGGCTTGCTTTAAGTGAAAGATAGAAATTCGTAGACTGAAGTATTTTAAAAATTGATGAATGGTAAAGTCTATATGCAGACGGAAATTTTAGACATAAAAATCATGAATATAAAATAGCATGCCTTCTTATTTATGCGCCATCAGACATTCAGCGGAACAGGATTCCTACTTTAAAGTGTTATGCTTACATAAATCATATGAATGAAATAGCTTTTACAAAATATCCGTTCTATTTTATTATATTTGCTAATCGGAATGTAAAATTATATTTTAGACTATTTATATGAATAAGAAATACGAGTGCAACAAAATAATATGATATCATTTATAGAGTATATTATCTACGGTACCAGCTCTTCCATTGTTTCAATTGTGCTTATTACTGAATGGCTGAATATGACCTATTGTAAGAATAACCCGATTCCCAATTGATTAGTCGATCGCAGTCTTGTGTTTCCTTTGGAGAAAATTGTTTGCAATCCTTTCTCAATTTGCACGATTTGTTGTTGATCCATTTGTGTTTTTTCCTGTTAATTATATTGATGCGCTCAATAAGTCTCATATAAACGAAGTAAATTTTTCCTAAAAAAAATATGTTAAAAGAGGACGTGTTAGGTCTGATGCATAATTGAGATTAAACATGTTGCATAATTATACAAAAACGCTTTAGACAAACAATTTGCATATGTGTTAAAATACACACTGTAAATGTGTGGTTCTTGAACTATGCAGTTTGAAAGGCGATGTGGAGTATAAGAAAGTCGCCAAACAATACAAAAATATTTCAATAGAGAACAGAGCATTAGCTCCAGTGTTCATAAACTAAGTATCGGGATCAATTTTGTAATGATACTCTATTTACTGTCTTTGCTTTAGGAATCCTATAGTAATTACATAAGGCTAAAATGATATGTACATGTACAAAATTTACATACTTGCTGTTTTGCAATAAAACATACACAGGTTTTGGAATAACAGTACACATTTAAGTAAAAAATACACAAATTATAAGATTGGCGGCGTGGCCGAGTGGTTAACGTGTCGGACTAGTAATCTAAGAATTGTTGACCGCGTGGATTCAAATCATGTCAGTGGCAAGCCGTTGTTTCCTTGAGCAAGAAACTTTACATTCATTGCTTAGTATTGGTTGGTTTCAGGAACGGATTCGAGAGTGTTTCACCAAGTCAACACAATCGAACTAAAATAAACTAAATATAAGGATAAGTAAATTATTTATCTCATTGGTTCTACTCAGGTGCCCGTTCGTGCCTTAAATATGCACTGAAGGGCACCTGAGGTATTCCTCCACCAGTAAAGCTGGAACGTCGCGATATGACCTATATTGTGTCGATGTGACGTAAAACCCCAAAACAAATAATCTATCTCATGCCAGTTCAAATCCATTTTGAATGATAAAAGTAACGGTGAATTTTGAAATTTATATATTTTGGTCTAAGTCTCAATGGTCAACTTGATCCTAGAATCTTAATTAACACGGAATCAGATTATTCTAAAGTCAGATATACACTTCGAAATCAGATATATACTGAATTTGAAGGTTTAAATATTTGGAAAATTTTAATAATAACGTTAGCCTTGGAATACAGATAATTTGGAACTTATTCCTAAATATAAGACATGAGGACGTTACAAAAATATAATATACAGTATTTAACATATAGAAAGGATAGATTGAAATTTAGTTGCTTTGTTTCAGGATATTAAAATGCATTATTATGTTACATGCTTGTTGATCAAATATTTGTTGTCAATTAAAACATTTATCCAACGTGTTTCTCGCAGTTTATCTAAATAAAGATCGAAGTAATTTTGATCTGTTTTCTAAATTTGCTTAATGCCTTTGTCAGAAAGAGAGCATTGTGGAATAAACAAAGAAATTAGTGACTGCATGGAATGCGTGAGTAGACTGTAATTTCTAGAGGTTTAATTTATATATTTGGCAGGCTGTGTCTGTATGTAGAGAAATGTCATTTTATCCAAATTTTCCGCTACACTTTGCAGATTTACATATGTTTTACTGAATAATAAACGTCTGTTTTCTTGCACTATGACTGTATTAAGAGTCGGAAAGGATAGGTTGGTGAGAAATTAATTCACGTCAGGGTAAGACAATTTGATTTTGAATAAAATAAAATTGTGCTACCTTTCTAAATATCATACAATGCTACAGTATTTTATTTTTGCATTTATTTAACTTATAAAACTCAATATTATAATATCATGTAAACGAACATTTTTCAAATAATGTAAAGATACATAAATAGACAATATCTGCATGCAATTTCTTTTTAAATTACTTTACTCAATTTGAGGAAAACAACTAAACGATAAACTAGCGTCAATATTAACGTGTATATAACTAATATTAGAATGTCTGCAAAATAATAACTATATGTAGCGTGCTAGGATTTTTGCAACAGTATATAACTTAATATCAATTGCTTGTAAATATTCGTAAGATGCATGCTTGAAATGATTTCTTAGCCTGCTTGATAACGGACTAGAAGTACGAGTTATTTTCTTTGACATTAGTAAAGCTTTCAACAAGGTTTGGCTTAAGGGCCTACTCACTAAGCTGAAGCTTGCTGGAATTTCTGGAAATGCCTATACTTGGTTTCTCGAATATTTAAGTGATAGACAACAACGTGTTGTCCTTTCTAACTGTCAATCGTCTTTTGGGTATCTTTCAGCTGGTGTTCACAAAGGCTCAATTCTTGGTTTTCTTCCCTTTCTTGTATTTACTCATCATATTGTTTAAGATATACAATTTTGTATCAATTTATTCACTGATGACACTAGTCTTTTTCTTGTTGTTGAAAATCCTCAAACAGCTTGTACCACATTACAGTCGAATATAGACAGAATTTCATTATCGTCAGATACCGATACTTAAAATTACAGAAACATGATATCTAAATAAATCTTTGTGTGATATGACGACAATTGTCTAAGCATAAATGTATACAGTTTTAATGTTTTTAATATGCCAGTTGCACCATTTAAATCAATTCATATTAACCACTTTATAATAGTAAAAAGATATACAACTTACTGTAACTAGTTCAGGAAAAATATAGTTATTAATGTTATTGGATGAGGAACGTATATGCAAGTTAAAGAAAGGAGGAAAAGCATCGTTATATACTACATCAATTTTAACATTACAATATAGAGAAAGAGTTTCACATTTTGTCAACTTGATAAGAGATTACATAAAGCAGACATCATATTGAAAAATACATAAAAATTAAAACGTTGCAAATGGCAAATACAACAAACTGAATTTTAAGTATTTGCATTATTTTATAAACATTACGCAGTTTAAGTTTGGTGAAAAATGATTGGGTAAGGTTTTATATTAAGCTATCAGTTCAAAGTGAAAAATGAAGTTGTAAGGAACAAACCTGATTAAAGAAAAATTAAATGTTAGAAGAAAGATTAAAACTGATCATGTTCTTCGCAATAAGTGACAATTTTTCATTCAGTTAAATGTCATTCAAGAATTAAACATGTCTCATATTCATATTTATTTAATTTATCTTATTCATTTTTATTATTTATTTATTTGTTTATTATTTATTTATTTTAATATCAAAATGTTATAAAATGAAATTTACACAAATCACAGTAATTGAAATTAAGTAATATTTATTCAGCAAATATTGCTCTAATTGTCGTCATGTGTCCGTCTGAAACGAGTTTTGAATTCATCATATTACCAATACAAAACATATTTTTCGTGCTTTAAATAAGTTATGTGACGTAAAGATTAAAGATGTGATACTTTCTGATTATATTCCATACCTTTTTATCTCGTGCAGAAAAGTCAAATAATTTAATACATAAATGTACATTTGTGTCTCATATATTAATATGCATGTTGGGTCTTTTTTAGACAGGATTTCATCCAAGCCCTCCTCGAGGACTACGACAGTAGGATTCCACCAAATTTCGAGAAAGGTGAGTTGAGATATTAGATGTGCAGATGTCATATAGTTTTTGTACTTATACAAAAAACATGTACGAGGATCAAAATGTACTTAGCCCAATGTACTTAAGTTAGTCAGAGAACCCAACAAATGGTCTTACTTTTCAATATAATTGCTCTCTACATCAATGCACTTGCACCCACCCGTGCTCCAACTTGTTTAACTCTTCAAAATGGAACTCTCTAGTTTGGTCCCCAAAGAACTCAAGGACGACCTCCATGACACCTTAAATGCTTCCAAAACGTCTACCACGAAACTTGGTTTTCAGTTTCGGAAACGGACAGACAGAAGTCAGAAGGGGCCAGGTCTTCATAAAGGGCTTTATGGTACGACCTTGCTCAAGATACTCAATCATGATTATACCCTGACTATTCCAAAAAATTGAAGCCATCATCTTCCCTGCTGATGGCTACCTCTTGAATTTCTTCCGATGGGATGAGCCAGGGTGCTTCTATTGCATGCTCTATTTTTTTTATTCTGGATCGAAGTGATGGACCCATGTTTCATCCTGAGTTACGATCCGGTAGATACAATCAGGTTCATCCTCGTAGCGAGACAAACTATCTTAAAATGTCAAGCCTGGTCCGTTTCTGGTCGTAAGTCAACTGTATAGGGACCCATCATCTAGCGGAAACCTTTGTCATGCCATAGACATCAGTCAGAATTGCCTGAACTGAACCAAAGCTTATACCCACTTCCCTAGCAAAGCTTTTCAGGTCTCGCCTTCTGTCGCATATGACACAGCTTCGGCAGTTTTATAGTTGGTGGCCTCTTCTGGCTGCCCAGGCCGCTCAACATCTCCAATGCTCTCCCTGCCCCTCTTTAATTCAGGAGCCCATTTTGTCACAGTACTACAGGAAGGGGACTCCTTCCCAAGTGTATCCATGAAGTCTTCATGGATTTCCTTATTTGGTCTAAATGACACACCCCTTTCCTGCTCAAAGTGTGTTTTATGTTACTTATGTTACTTAAACTGTGTAAAACCGCGTGTAACTCGGTCAGTAATCTTCAATAAGATATCGGTATCGACATATTGTGTGTAAATGTGTAGTGGCTAGAAGTATATAGATATTGAACTTTTTATCATACATACTTCGTATAACGTTTACTATCTTAATTAACTTAACCCGTTCTGTTTAACGTTGGTATTATAGAAGAACAACGACAAATATGTTCTCATATTCTGTTTTCGCGTAGTGTTAATTATAATATACTTATTTCTATTTCAAAATGTGGTAAGAAAACAATATCAAGTTTTTATTTTTTCACTTTTTTTTCATTTTTCCAGATTACCCATGCGAAGTCAACGTAAGCCTCTACATTAACAGCATTGATTCTATAGACGAACAGAAAATGGTAAAGTCATGACCTTTTCGTATTTTGCCCAACAAAATATAATATTTGAAGACCTTTGCTTTGTGTTTTTGACATCTTAATAGAAATTGGTTTCCGTCTTTTATCTTAAATACTTCTTTTCATGTCATACAAAAAGACTTAATTAAATCATTTCAGCTTAATATCTATTTTTAACAAGGGCGAAGATTGATTGATTTAAGACTTAGTGAACCAAGATATTCAATTTATATTATTCTTGATTAGAATAATTTTTGACCACATTTGCCCTGCATATTTTCCCGCATACTATTTTATACTGAAAACCACAGTAACGTTTATATACTTCGAAATTAGAAAATATATATACACACCCATGTCTTTGGCGATATTATATCATTTAATTTCCACTAACTGTCACAACTGTCTAAAATTAAACAGGATGCTTATCTATTTAAAAAAAGTAGAAAACATAGCTAATTTTACGTGCACCAGTGTTGCCGAAATTAAAATTCCATAGTAAAGTGACAAATGATAATTACTCTACGAACTTCCCGATCAACCTACTTAGCTAGATATTATCATTCATGACAAAAGAGCAATTCTAGGATGGCGTTTAATAATAAATATGTGTTATAGCTTCTTCCACATTTGTGTAATAGGTTAGAATACAGTTACAGAGAAAAAACCCATTAATTGTATCCTGAATGTCAATATTCATGTATTAATATTAAAAAAAATTGCTACCTACAATCCTGACTGTCAAAAGCCAGTCAATTCATTGGTGTGTAACTATACCTTAAATTACATTGTCATGTCATTGTTACGTAAAGCTAGACATATTTTTAAACAAGAAAATTATCAATTTAAAACACAATTTGTTTTTAAGCTTGATGTCATGTTTATGATGTCATTTACAGCTACATTGTAATTTGTTTGGTATCATTATTTGCAATATATATGCACAGCAGTCAGGCTGGAATTGACTTATAGTTTAAAACAAAACATCACATGTAATTGGTTAACATTGCTAGATAAGGATAACGTTTCCGTGCTCATTTCTACTGCTGATTTTTTTCACAAAGAGTTGAGTTATGAGCTAAAATGATATAAAATGTAAAATTTAAAATATGGAACAAAATATGTTTATGATGGTAAATATGTCAGGGAATTGAAATTTCTATTTCAGGACTTCACTTTAAGCACATTTGTCAGTCAAGAATGGATAGACACAAGATTGAGTTTCAGAAATCTCATACTTGCGGATTACCTCGAATTAGATTCCAGATTGATGGAAAATGTCTGGGTTCCAGACCTATATGTTCGGAACGAGAAGCAAGCGTATTTCCATACAGTTACTATTCCAAATAAGATGTTACATATTTACAAAAACGGAGTGGTAAAATATAGATCTAGGTAACACATTTTGAACCTAAAAAACAATTGTATAGTTTACATGTACAATGTGTTATATTGTTACATATAAAGATGCCGTAAAATCCTATTTAATCATTGCATTTTGGCTGCACAATTCATTAGAAAAAATACATGTGGAGAAAAAGATAGAAAATAAATTCAAACTTACATTTATCATTATTTCAACTGTCTTTGGATTCAGTTTTTCATCTATTTATCGGATGTGTTGCTCTGCTGCTGTGAGTGGATGAAGGGTCCATCAGTATACATACAAGGCGCAAATAAAATGAAAAACAATATTCATTTGCATATTAATAACAGTTTGAAATTCTAAATATTTTTAATCGGGCCATATTTACATGCATATTTTGAATAAGCAAAAGGGTTATCCCCCGGATGAAAAAAATTTTATTTTTTAAAATACGAAAACTTAAAATTTTCTGGTTGAAGAATGTAAAAATTTTTAAAAAAGAAAATTTGATTTTTATGAAAACTATTTTACCATTCCATCACCTTATTTTCATGTAAGACCAACGACTATTATAGCTAATGATTACGTATTTATCATAAAACTTAATAGGGAGTTAATGTACACAGGCAGCGATTTCTTAGTCCAGAAGATGACATTTTCCTATAATACATTCAGTCATGTAGTTTTGATTATGTGCAATAACTTGGCTAAACAATCAACAATCAACAATCGACATTCAATGTCTAGCTAGACAATCAACATTCAGCTCAACATTCGATCTATAATAATAATCAAACAATTCTCAAAGTGAATGTTGAGCTAGACAATCAACAATCAGCTAGACATTCGAAAATTTCTTATGTCGAGCTAGACAATCAACATTCAGCTCAACATTCGACCTGTAATAATTATCAAAGTATCCTTAAAGTGAATGTTGAGCTAGACAATCAACAATCAGCTAGACATTCGATAATTTCTTATGTCGAGCTAGACAATCGACATTCAGCTCAACATTCGATCTATAATAAAAATCAAAGAATTTTCAAAGTGAATGTTGAGCTAGACAATCGACAATCAGCTAGACATTCAGAAATTTCTTATGTCGAGCTAGACAATCGACATTCAGCTCAACATTCGATCAATAATAATGATCGAGGTTTTCTTAAAGTGAATGTTGAGCTAGACAATCAACAATATGCTAGACATTCGATAATTTGTTATGTCGAGCTAGACAATCGACATTCAGCTCAACATTCGACTTGTAATAATAATCAAAGTATTCTTAAAATGAATGTTTAGCTAGACAATCAACAATCAGCTACACATTCGATAATTTCTTATGCCGAGCTAGACAATCGACATTCAGCTCAACATTCGATCTATAATAAAAATCAAAGAATTTTCAAAGGGAATGTTGAGCTAGACAATCGACAATCAGCTAGACATTCAGAAATTTCCTATGTCGAGCTAGACAATCGAAATTCAGCTCAACATTCGATCTATAATAATGATCGAGGTTATTTTGATAATTATTAAAGGTCGAATGTTGAGCTGAATGTTGATTGTCTAGCTCTACATAAGAAATTTTCAAATGTCTAGCTGATTGTTGATTGTCTAGGTCAACATTCACTTTCAGGATACTTTGATAATTATTACAGGTCGAATGTTGAGCTGAATGTTGATTGTCTAGCTCGACATAAGAAATTTCTGAATGTCTAGCCGATTGTCGATTGTCTAGCTCAACATTCACTTTGAAAATTCTTTGATTTTTATTATAGATCGAATGTTGAGCTGAATGTCGATTGTCTAGCTCGACATAAGAAATTATCGAATGTCTAGCTGATTGTTGATTGTCTAGCTCAACATTCACCTGAAGGATACTTTGATAATTATTACAGGTCGAATGTTGAGCTGAATGTTGATTGTCTAGGTCGACATAAGAAATTTTCGAATGTCTAGCTGATTGTTGATTGTCTAGCTCAACATTCACTTTGAGAATTGTTTGATTATTATTATAGATCGAATGTTGAGCTGAATGTTGATTGTCTAGCTCGACATTCACTTTAAGAAAACCTCGATCATTATTATAGATCGAATGTTGAGCTGAATGTCGATTGTCTAGCTCGACATAAGAAATTTCTGAATGTCTAACTGATTGTCGATTGTCTAGCTCAACATTCCCTTTGAAAATTCTTTGATTTTTATTGTAGATCGAATGTTGAGCTGAATGTCGATTGTCTAGCTCGGCATAAGAAATTATCGAATGTCTAGCTGATTGTTGATTGTCTAGCTCAACATTCACTTTAAGGATACTTTGATAATTATTACAGGTCGAATGTTGAGCTGAATGTTGATTGTCTAGCTCGACATAAGAAATTTTCGAATGTCTAGCTGATTGTTGATTGTCTAGCTCAACATTCACTTTAAGGATACTTTGATAATTATTACAGGTCGAATGTTGAGCTGAATGTTGATTGTCTAGCTCGACATAAGAAATTTTCGAATGTCTAGCTGATTGTTGATTGTCTAGCTCAACATTCACTTTGAGAATTGTTTGATTATTATTATAGATCGAATGTTGAGCTGAATGTTGATTGTCTAGCTCGACATAAGAAATTATCGAATGTCTAGCTGATTGTTGATTGTCTAGCTCAACATTCACTTTAAGAAAACCTCGATCATTATTATAGATCGAATGTTGAGCTGAATGTCGATTGTCTAGCTCGACATAAGAAATTTCTGAATGTCTAGCTGATTGTCGATTGTCTAGCTCAACATTCCCTTTGAAAATTCTTTGATTTTTATTATAGATCGAATGTTGAGCTGAATGTCGATTGTTTAGCTCGACATAAGAAATTTTCAAATGTCTAGCTGATTGTTGATTGTCTAGCTAAACATTCATTTTAAGAATACTTTGATTATTATTACAAGTCGAATGTTGAGCTGAATGTCGATTGTCTAGCTCGACATAAGAAATTATCGAATGTCTAGCTGATTGTTGATTGTCTAGCTCAACATTCACTTTAAGAAAACCTCGATCATTATTATTGATCGAATGTTGAGCTGAATGTCGATTGTCTAGCTCGACATAAGAAATTTCTGAATGTCTAGCTGATTGTCGATTGTCTAGCTCAACATTCACTTTGAAAATTCTTTGATTTTTATTATAGATCGAATGTTGAGCTGAATGTCGATTGTCTAGCTCGACATAAGAAATTATCGAATGTCTAGCTGATTGTTGATTGTCTAGCTCAACATTCACTTTAAGGATACTTTGATAATTATTACAGGTCGAATGTTGAGCTGAATGTTGATTGTCTAGCTCGACATAAGAAATTTTCGAATGTCTAGCTGATTGTTGATTGTCTAGCTCAACATTCACTTTGAGAATTGTTTGATTATTATTATAGATCGAATGTTGAGCTGAATGTTGATTGTCTAGCTCGACATTCACTTTAAGAAAACCTCGATCATTATTATAGATCGAATGTTGAGCTGAATGTCGATTGTCTAGCTCGACATAAGAAATTTCTGAATGTCTAACTGATTGTCGATTGTCTAGCTCAACATTCCCTTTGAAAATTCTTTGATTTTTATTGTAGATCGAATGTTGAGCTGAATGTCGATTGTCTAGCTCGGCATAAGAAATTATCGAATGTCTAGCTGATTGTTGATTGTCTAGCTCAACATTCACTTTAAGGATACTTTGATAATTATTAAAGGTCGAATGTTGAGCTGAATGTTGATTGTCTAGCTCTACATAAGAAATTTTCAAATGTCTAGCTGATTGTTGATTGTCTAGCTCAACATTCACTTTCAGGATACTTTGATAATTATTACAGGTCGAATGTTGAGCTGAATGTTGATTGTCTAGCTCGACATAAGAAATTTTCGAATGTCTAGCTGATTGTTGATTGTCTAGCTCAACATTAACTTTGAGAATTGTTTGATTATTATTATAGATCGAATGTTGAGCTGAATGGTGATTGTCTAGCTCGACATAAGAAATTATCGAATGTCTAGCTGATTGTTGATTGTCTAGCTCAACATTCACTTTAAGAAAACCTCGATCATTATTATAGATTGAATGTTGAGCTGAATGTCGATTGTCTAGCTCGACATAAGAAATTTCTGAATGTCTAGCTGATTGTCGATTGTCTAGCTCAACATTCCCTTTGAAAATTCTTTGATTTTTATTATAGATCGAATGTTGAGCTGAATGTCGATTGTTTAGCTCGACATAAGAAATTTTCAAATGTCTAGCTGATTGTTGATTGTCTAGCTAAACATTCATTTTAAGAATACTTTGATTATTATTACAAGTCGAAGGTTGAGCTGAATGTCGATTGTCTAGCTCGACATAAGAAATTATCGAATGTCTAGCTGATTGTTGATTGTCTAGCTCAACATTCACTTTAAGAAAACCTCGATCATTATTATTGATCGAATGTTGAGCTGAATGTCGATTGTCTAGCTCGACATAAGAAATTTCTGAATGTCTAGCTGATTGTCGATTGTCTAGCTCAACATTCACTTTGAAAATTCTTTGATTTTTATTATAGATCGAATGTTGAGCTGAATGTCGATTGTCTAGCTCGACATAAGAAATTATCGAATGTCTAGCTGATTGTTGATTGTCTAGCTCAACATTCACTTTAAGGATACTTTGATAATTATTACAGGTCGAATGTTGAGCTGAATGTTGATTGTCTAGCTCGACATAAGAAACTTTCGAATGTCTAGCTGATTGTTGATTGTCTAGCTCAACATTCACTTTGAGAATTGTTTGATTATTATTATAGATCGAATGTTGAGCTGAATGTTGATTGTCTAGCTCGACATAAGAAATTATCGAATGTCTAGCTGATTGTTGATTGTCTAGCTCAACATTCACTTTAAGAAAACCTCGATCATTATTATTGATCGAATGTTGAGCTGAATGTCGATTGTCTAGCTCGACATAAGAAATTTCTGAATGTCTAGCTGATTGTCGATTGTCTAGCTCAACATTCACTTTGAAAATTCTTTGATTTTTATTACAGATCGAATGTTGAGCTGAATGCCGATTGTCTAGCTCGACATAAGAAATTATTGAATGTCTAGCTGATTGTTGATTGTCTAGCTCAACATTCACTTTAAGGATACTTTGATAATTATTACATGTCGAATGTTGAGCTTGATGTTGATTGTCTAGCTCGACATAAGAAATTTTCGAATGTCTAGCTGATTGTTGATTGTCTAGCTCAACATTCACTTTGAGAATTGTTTGATTATTATTATAGATCGAATGTTGAGCTGAATGTTGATTGTCTAGCTCGACATAAGAAATTATCGAATGTCTAGCTGATTGTTGATTGTCTAGCTCAACATTCACTTTAAGAAAACCTCGATCATTATTATAGATCGAATGTTGAGCTGAATGTCGATTGTCTAGCTCGACATAAGAAATTTCTGAATGTCTAGCTGATTGTCGATTGTCTAGCTCAACATTCCCTTTGAAAATTCTTTGATTTTTATTATAGATCGAATGTTGAGCTGAATGTCGATTGTCTAGCTCGGCATAAGAAATTATCGAATGTCTAGCTGATTGTTGATTGTCTAGCTCAACATTCACTTTAAGGATACTTTAATAATTATTACAGGTCGAATGTTGAGCTGAATGTTGATTGTCTAGCTCGACATAAGAAATTTTCAAATGTCTAGCTGATTGTTGATTGTCTAGCTAAACATTCATTTTAAGAATACTTTGATTATTATTACAAGTCGAATGTTGAGCTGAATGTCGATTGTCTAGCTCGACATAAGAAATTATCGAATGTCTAGCTGATTGTTGATTGTCTAGCTCAACATTCACTTTAAGAAAACCTCGATCATTATTATTGATCGAATGTTGAGCTGAATGTCGATTGTCTAGCTCGACATAAGAAATTTCTGAATGTCTAGCTGATTGTCGATTGTCTAGCTCAACATTCACTTTGAAAATTCTTTGATTTTTATTATAGATCGAATGTTGAGCTGAATGTCGATTGTCTAGCTCGACATAAGAAATTATCGAATGTCTAGCTGATTGTTGATTGTCTAGCTCAACATTCACTTTAAGGATACTTTGATAATTATTACAGGTCGAATGTTGAGCTGAATGTTGATTGTCTAGCTCGACATAAGAAATTTTCGAATGTCTAGCTGATTGTTGATTGTCTAGCTCAACATTCACTTTGAGAATTGTTTGATTATTATTATAGATCGAATGTTGAGCTGAATGTTGATTGTCTAGCTAGACATTGAATGTTGATTGTTGATTGTTGATTGTTTAGCCAAGTTATTGCACATGTTTTGATTATGAAATCCGAAATTCATTTTTTCTTACAGGATCACGTTAACTGCATCATGTCCTATGAAACTTCACAAGTATCCAATGGACAGACAGATGTGTTCATTATTTATACAAAGTTGTAAGTGTTAAATTTGTTCTTATAATAAAGGGTTTAATGAAATTGAATTTTGAAAAGAAATGTTGAACATATTTGTATTAACTTAAAGGTATTAACAAAAATACGAATAATTGTATGATAGCAAAAGCCATTGACATGATTGATAAGCTTTTTTCTTGTATTGTACTACACACTTATTTGGAGAAATTTTTTACAAAATAACTTCCTTTGGCAATATTTGAAATGCCACAATGTGCACATAACATTGAAAGTAAACTTTTTTAGCTTAATATCGCCGTGCATTTACAATAATGTATATTTTGAGCAATATCTCTTTTTTTAGTTGCATTTACGACAAATCGATTAGTATTCAGATGGCGGAAGAACGAGCCTATCAGATTGAATCCAAATCTTGAATTGCCCCAGTTCACACCGTACAGACATGAGACAGAAAACTGTACAGATATCGGAGAAGGTCAATATATTTTTACTAAGCAATATTTTCAAATCTTGTCAACAAAATAATGTTCATGTTCTTTAATTTAAAAAATTGAAGTTGAATAACGAACTTTCAAAATAGTTCAATACAACTCTTTCTTACAGTGTTCCAATAGGACCACCGCGTTTTCTCTGACAGTATATTAAGTGTATATATTTTCTAAAAACACCATATTCTCAAGCTAGCCGTTCAAACACCATTTGCCTGATTCCGTTGTGGATTCATTTTTCAATTAGTTTGAAGGGACTTCCCTACAGCGATATAAGACTCAAAGCCCTTAACCAAGCAAAATGTCAGATTTCCGCGTTGCATAGTCGTTTTTTATTTGACCGGCTGTTTGTTCTTAATGTATATAAAGTGTATAAATGTTCATAGATTCACCATATTCTCGAGCCAACCTTTAAAACACCACTTGTCTAATTCCGCTGCATATTCGTTTGTGTCATTAGTTTGGAGGGTCTTCTTTACTGTGTAACAGCAATATAAGGCCAAAAGCCTTGACCCAAGCAAAATACCCACGAGATAAGGCATTGTAGTTTGTTTAATCGTCGAATGGAAAGCGCGACGGTACGATGGTGTCCATCGCACTGTCGTATTGTCACCATCGTACTTCCCTCCATGTTAATATTTTATTTAATGCGCATGCTTAACCGGAAGGTGCCAGTATGATGGTAACAGTTGGGTAGTGACAATAAAACATTATGATAGTGACAGCAAAAACGTACGATAGTGACAGTTCGACAGTTGCACTTCGCCATCGTACTTTTGTACTGTCATCATTGAAATTTCGTGCTTTGCGATTTCGTTTTCAGAGAACACGCGCTGGTCATAACAGAACCCCGTACTCTCAATTATTTTGAACGTTATACAGTTCATTTTTTTCCTGATTGTGCTTAAAAAAGGGTTAGTCTGATAAATATCGAAACATAAACTTTAATTGTAAAAGTTTCATTGACACATTCACTTCATTCTACTCAGCTTTGTTGTTATACAATAACATTTTCTAACATCTCATCTCGTAATGTGTTTTTATTACTTATTTTTGATATATTTTCAGGCAACACCTGTTTACAATTCAATATATATCTTGAACGGAACATTGGATTTTATATGATACAGACATATATACCCAGTGTTCTCATTGTCATGTTGTCATGGCTGTCGTTTTGGCTTAATGTTGATGCCGTTCCTGCTCGAATATCTCTAGGTATTCTTACTGTTCTGACAATGACAACCCAAAGGAGTATGTCCAATGTTTCATTGCCACGAGTGTCTTATGTAAAGGTAATGAAGTTAATTAAAGATATATAATGCTCTGATTGTATATTATTTCTTTGTAGTTGCATTATGATAGTTTCATAGAAAATATGTTCAGATTAAAGTCTACACACTTGAGGTAAACACATTATAGATAGATTATGTCATAAAACATCTGGCAGGCTAAATGTGTTAGAAAAGATTAAATTGACTTGACAAGTTTAAGGGTATTATGCGTCCAAATATAGATGCATTCTCTTATAAACATTAGAAATATTTAGTAAGATTTTTCAGGAGTTTTATAAATGTTTGCAATAATGGAATTTTACCTGAAGATGAGCATAGTATAACTTTAAAGTTTGAAAAAAAACTTTCATCTTCAACAGTAAACATTACAACAAGGAATTGTATCATAGTTTGGAGACCTTTCTGTTGAAAATGTGTCAGGGTTAAATCGTATACATATACATGCACAGTGCGTTAACTGGAGTGCGGGTATTAGTTACCCGCACTCCAGAGCATGCCCATTGATTGGCTCATTTTTGCTGGGGTTTACATATTATGACGGCAGAGAAAGGGAAAGCGACAGAAACATCATATTCAGATGTTCGTTCATTGGTTCATTTTTGCCGGGGTTTCATATTGTGACAACAGGGAACGTGTTTTTATGTTTGACTATGATACAAAAGAGAAAGAACACCAAAACACTCAGTAATCTGATTAATACTCGGGGGCTACGCCCCCTCGTACAAATCAGATAACCTCGTGTTTCGGTGCTCTTTCTATTACTTATAAGCTTCTTTTTTACAGATGGCTCAAGTCTTTTTTTTAAATTTTAGATATGATTGATGAATAGATAAATACGTTGTGAAATTGTATATATTGTAGGCTATTGATGTTTGGATGGCCGTTTGCCTTTGTTTTGTATTTTCTGCATTGCTCGAGGTTAAAG